TTATTTCAAATACATGCAAATTCAGAAAGCAATTTAGTGACCTGAATTCTTAAACTGCTGCCAGTGGGCTCAGAGAGAACTGAAAAGAGAAACGAACAGAAGTCACAGCTAATTTCCCCTGTGTCTGCGCAGAATTTTAACAACAGAAAGCTAATTTTGATTATTTGATAGAAGAATTATTGTTGAGTGCTGGTGCCTTTTATGAAATCACATGAGCCTTTCTCCCTGTTCTTTTGTAAGCTATCTACAGTTGAGGAAAATCTGACTTTGCAATTCTTAATTAAGGGAGAAACATCTGTTTGCTTAGTTTCCATAATTTTACATACCCCGCTCCACTTCAAAGCACCAGTAGCTTTGCTGTGAACATCTTCAAGACTCTAAATATCTTTCTTTTTTCCCTATATTTAGCCTATTATTGCAGTGAGGAAAATAGGGAGTTTTAGAACCCTGAGCTACCTCCAAGGAAGCAAGGGAAGGGAGCTGGTGCATGCTGTGGTTGCAGATGGCTCCTCTGCTAGCTCTGGGGCATCTCAGGAAGTTTATATGGTGCTTTTAGGAGTGATGCTTGAGTGGGTTGTTTGTCTTAGTACCTTAAACTCTGCTAGGCACTTTAATTTATGTGGGATAAACAACACAGGAGAAACTCTGTAGCATGCAGCCTCCCTGCTTCCCTGATTAGATTGAAGGGGAGCAGGAGTCCCTTTTCCTTTCTCCTGATGAAGCTTCTCCCTGGCTTAGCAAGAACACAGGACTCACTGCAGGTCACTGAGCATAGCTGGGAACTCCAGAACATGATTTCAATTAGGGTTACACAGAGCCAAACTCATCAGCCTTTCAGCCCTCTCATTGCTGACTTCTCTGCCCTCCCTCTGGGGCAGGTGCTGTGACAATAAACCCAGAGCAGGGAAAATGAATTTGAAAGTGAAGCAATTTCATAAATAAGATGTGGAGGAGGAATAATCTCAGAACCAATCTCAGAACCACTGGCCCAGGCAAAGTTACTCCCACTGCCTGGTTTATGTCACATGCAGGACTTTAGTCAGACCTGCCAGGAAATTGTCTTTGTCCCACCAGGACTCTGCTGTGTGCCTGTTCTCATCTGGTGTTGGTTGGAAAGAGGATTTTCTCCAGAAGCAACTAATAGGACTTACACTGGTGTGTGGAAACATCACGTAAATGATGCAATTCATTAGAGTGATGAAACCAATTAATTTTTCAGTTTGCCAACCAAATAACATTTTGAGAAATGATTTTGAAAAATTCCTCTCCCCTTCAATAGCCTAAAGAACATTTTCAGTAATTCTCTACAGTGTTCTGGAGGAGAAATTTGATATTTTCTTGGCAAAACACAAGAGAAAAAATTGATCTAATGAAACAGTTAATAGATTCAAGCTGAGGTCAGGAAAACAGTAAAGTGTAATGTAATTTCAAAGGGAAAATGAAGTGTTCTGTTTTAAAAACTAAGAAAAATAATCATTCAAGCGTTTTTACCGGAGTTACTTAATCAATTTGACACAAATTTAAGGAGCTTTGATCAAACCATTTCCAGTAAATATTAGGCATGTTTGGAAAATGTTAGCATATTGTCTGCTCAGTGCTGTGCCAAGGAGACAAGGGAACTGCTGGTGAGCTCGGGCTGTGGAGCACGAGTCCCTTCACTTGTCCCAGCAGCTCTGAGGAACATCACTGGGGCCTTGGCAGGGCCCAGGGCAGCACTGGAAGTCAGACACAGAAAGGAATCAGAAGCCACAGCCAGGTGACATAGAATTGAAAGAGTGAGATGAGGTGTAATGATGGAAACATAGAGCAGTGGCTGCTTCTGAGCCTTTTGGAAAGCTGTTTATCCTCCACCTGTCCACTCCTCCCTGGCTGCTTGTGTTGGACAGCAAGGCAGCAAACGTGGTGAGGCAGCATTTCAGCCTGCCTGCTTTGAGCTCAGCATGCTGTCCCCAGCCACAGCCTGACCTTGCAGTGCTGCAAGGGAGATGCAGATTCCCCATGCTGGGATTTGTACCTTCAGCTCCAGAAAGAGAGTGATTGGAAACCTGCAGTCTGAATCCCTCTTGAACTCAAGAGTGCTGGCCACATTCTCTCTTACCTGCTGTTGTAGTCCAGTAGGTTGTTCCTTCTCTCCATACGTGGAACAGTTAGTATCTCTGTTTCTGTTTAAGCAGTTCTTTGTGAGCTAATTTGTATGTGATTCTAGTAGATACTGGGTGGAAATTACTGTGTGTGTGTATGCAGTGACCCTCTGTGCCTTTGACTGCAAAAATGCAGTTTAAAGGTGACATTCATGTCCCTCTGGTATGCCTGGCTGTGGGTGCAACCAGGATCTGTCTGTTTAGGGGTATCCAGTGCTTTTCCAGTCCAATATACAATGAAAGAGCCATTATATAATATCCTCCACACACTTCCAGCACAGACAAGTTCTCCAGCCCCTGGGATGACTGACTTAGCCCTCTGCAAGCTTTACCCACACAGCACTGAGACACACTTCATCCTCTGCAAAGTGATAAATGCTTGATTTTAGAAAGGAAAAACCCTTAGTGTGTTCTTCCAGTGCTTAACTACAATTACAGTTAGATTGCTCCTTTTTTTTCTGGGCTTGTCTAAAATCACACTGTCTCATGGTTCCTTCTGGAACAGAAGGGAATACTGCTTAACAGCTTCCTTTGTCTGGGAGCTTCCTCATAAATTGGTATCAAATCACCTCTATTCTGAGAGAAGCTGAATACGCTGTACTTATTCACTGATGTTTTTCAAGCCTGGTTCTTGGGGGTATTTTCTGTACTTTTCACGCATTGCAGCCAGAATTAAACATGCTGTATCTTTCCAGCACCACATGTGGTAGTGACTGGTATCTCCCTTTCCCTCTACAATTTGCTCCTTATTTGTGCAATAATTGTTTCACCTTTTTCTGGTGGTAGATTTGGAACTCAGCAAGTGATATTCAAGATTCTGCCATTTCAGAGTGACTTTTTAGGATACTAGGATGCCAGCTACCCTCTTCAGAATGTAATTTCAATTCTTTCCTGACAGATGTTTGATTTTCTATTTGTCTGGAGTTAGAGGCATGTCCTTAAACTCTTACTCTTTTATCTGCTGCACATTTAAAAGATACATCATACACTAACAAACCCAACAGCAATCTGGATGTCATCTAGATGTACCTCACCCAGATCATAAGATCTGAAGGCTGAGTAGTATAGGACTGAAAGGAAATTCCTCTGGAATCTCACTGGGAACTGCTACCCAATGTGGCAGTCCACTTTTATTACTCCTTGGAAACTACAGGCTGACCAGTTTAAACAGAATGCTGTATGCGACAAATGAAATACCATACTGTGATCTTGGTCAAAAATATCACCAGTTGACTTCTCTTAAAGCTTGTGATGTCATGAGACAGTGGAGACAAGTTTAATGGACAAGCTGTTGTTTGCAGGAAACTTAACTGACCAGCACTGTGCTGCCAGCCTTTGATTCCTACACGATGACATGATTTGGGGATTAGAGTGCAGGAAAAGAGGCCCTTCCACATCCAGGTGTCCATTGCAGACCTGCCACTATCCCATGCTCTGCAAATCTACAGGAATTGGCACAGTGCTGTCTGTTTGCCCTGGTCCTGAACAAGAACTAAGGAGGATCAGGCAGGAACCAGCATAAAGGACACTTGAAGCAGTGCTGAGATTGGGGTCTGAGGATACATCTGGCTCAGGAGGAGGGTTAATGCAGCTTTTGATCTGATCTAAACTGCCTGATGCCTCGTCTCGAGATGACCCTTCCACACTCACTCCTTGAGCTGCAGCTCCAAAGTGAGCAGGGCCAGGTGTGCACACAGCACACACACACAGACACATACAAGACTTGAACCCTTCACACCCCAACAGCTTCAGCAAACAGGAATGAAAAGGAAGCCCATGGGCAGGTGCTCTCATCAGTTCAAACTAGCATGTTTCAGGATAAAGGACCCTTGAAAAGCCAAGAACAGGGATCTAATCCACGCTAATTTTGTAAGAAAATCATTCCAATCAGCATACACCAGCTTCTTATAAATCAGTGCTGGCAGCATTACCACCCACGTGCTGCTCTGGGAACAGAGACACGGAAACCCTTATGCAGGACCTGTCCACATCAGAAATCCCTCCTTTGGGAAGGCATTAGTGCTCTGGTGACAGGCTATCCCCTGCACTGAATCCTTCTGGCCCTCGGTCCAGGAGTGCATCTCTTCAGTGCCAGGTGCACTCCCAGGCCAGACAAACACATTCCGCCACATTTTCCAGCCCATTGCAAAGGCAAAGCGCTGAGCTAATATTTTGCTGCAGGCTGGGGAGTCCAGCTGGAACATGACGTTTGTTGGCCTGCAGTTTCTGTAAAGCTGGGGCTTGGAGGACACAGCCAGGTAGGAAGGGAGCTGCAGTGTGTCTGAGAGCTCCTATCTGGGCCAGCTGGGCTTTTCCAGCACATCAAGTCATAGAATGGAACTGCAGAATCATTACGGTTGTAAAAGACCTCCAAGATCAAGTCCCTCTGTCTCTTATTCATAGAGAAATTTCCTGCCAACTAAACACACAGATTTGACTCCAGAGTGAACAAGTTGCATGAGACAGATGAGGAAAAGGTGTAGCTGAAGGAGAGTAGCTGAAGACTTCACTGGATTTAAAGAGGGTTTATTCTCATTTTCTAATGAAAGTGAGGTGTGCAAAATGGGAATCTTCCAAATTCATAAGCTTTGCTACCTGTTTGCCACACTTTCCAGGAGGGGCTTTACCGTTTATGTGAGGATGAGTGTTCACAGTTTTGTGGGATCTTGAGGTTGTTCGTGCCACAAAAGCAGATACAATCTTTTTGCTGGAGCAAAGAGACTGTATGAGAGAGATCCCATGATGATAGTGGAGGAGAGACAGTGGCAACAATTCAAGGGAAGTCTGTCAGGAAGCTTTGAGGAAGCCTCCTGTGCCTTGACACACCAGAATGACTCTCTTTCTTCACTTTCTCTATAGGCAAGAAAAATTCCATTCTGCTGCATAAAGTCCAGCATGACCTCAATTCAGGTGTTTTCAACTACCAAGAGAATGAGATCATCCAGCAGATCGTGCAGCACGACAGAGAGATGGCACACTGTGCTCACA